AGCCGCTACGCGAAACCCAAAGCCCAAAGCAGCACCAGCCACAACACGGCAGGCACAGTCTGCAGCGCTGCCAAAAGCTACACCGGCCACCAAACAACAACAAGAACAGCCAAGTCAGAGTTCCACCTCAACAGCACCAACCGACACCCAAACCGACGCAGTTACAGCCCAGTCACCTCCATCACCTCTAGCAACGCAACAACTCCTGGAGCCGACGCAGCAGCAGCGCATACCCACAGCCAACAAACCCACACAGCACATTCCAAGACCGCGCCCGACAACGCAACCCCTGCCACAACCACAACCACAACCGCAGCAGCAACAACAAGACAGGCCAAGGAGGTGGGGTCCCCAAACACAGGAAGAGCAGCAGCAATACCAAGCCAACTTCGTGGCAAAACACAGGCAAGAACAAGCACGACAACCAACCCACACACCACAAACACAGCACGCCGCAGCAGGAAGCACCGACAACCCAGACCAGCCAACGGTCCCGCGCAACCCCGCAGCTGCCGGACCACTACCACCACACGAGGGAGACGAAGCACAAGAACCGAGCCAGCAACCACCACAACAAGCAGCAGCAACAGACCCACCAGACAACCAACCAGCAACTCAACAACAAGAGCAACCACAAGGCGAAGTTTGGGCAGCGCCAGGAGAAAGACGTATCGTCCCTACCTGGGAGCAATCCTTCGCAGCCAGACTAGCCTACCTCCATGCCCATCGGCGCCTACACCCCGCGGGTGCCCGCTCGCAGGCTACAGCTCCGACAAGAGTCCCAGACCACTCGGATGCGGCGCCGCCAAGAGAGCAGAGCCTGTACCTCACCGGTGACGAAATCCCGGAAGGTCGGCAAGTTTGGCGTTTAACACGCCTGGGGCACCAACAATTCTTGCTAGAACCACAACCACAACAACCTGCCACAACATTCTATCACGATTTCAGCGCGGGCTCCCAGCAACAACAGGACACCACCACGACCCAAGCAGGAGCAGCGCAACAGCCACCTGCTCCCACGGCAACACACTCACCCCAAGACAACACTCAACCAGAAGCAGGCCATAGCCAATGTCCGAACCAGGACCACCATGCAGACGCCCCAGCAGAGCAGGATACGGCGGAGGAAACCTCCTACATGCAGAGGTTTTGGTGTGGCGCAAGCACTGGGCAGCAGCAGGAGGCCAAGCCAGACCAGCAGGGGGCATCACAGCACCAGGCAATGACCGCGCGCAAAGGAGCAGAGGATGCAAACATCTAAGAGAAACAACAACCACCACAACACCATCAACAAGCCAAGCCAACAGCAGCCAAAGCAAAACCTCGAGACAGCAGAGCGGTCTGTCAAGCCTCCACACAACACGAGGCAAGCAGCAGCAGCCACCAACCACCACCACCATCAACAGACGGCTCCCACTTCACCACAATCCTCGCGCACGAGCCTCCCTTCACGGCATTGCAACAAGGACTGCCGGTGCTTAGGGACATACTCAGCCACGTTAGCCAGCAAGCCAGAGCACAAGCAAGCACCAACGGGCAGACGCAGCCGCAGCTCATGCCACCACCACCACCGGTGCCACCATGCCCAGAGGAACTGCTCCTGGCATTACAGATCTCACAAACACTCACCACACACATTCAAACCCTCACCTCAAAAATACTAGCAACCCACCAAACCACATCAACAAGCCTTAACCAGCCACACCACCACAACGACGTCATCACAATAGACAGTCAGGAGTCACTGGAACAGGAACAGCAACAGCCAAAGCCAGCAACGGCAGAACCAACGGCACACACACCACTGGAAGCACCTCTACCACATGCACACAGTCAAGCAGGAGGCACAGCCAGCCAAGCAGCCACGCAAGCATGGCCACACATCATGGCAAAAACAGCGACCCAGGAACACCGAGCCGAGCCGGCACAGAGGCCAACAGAGCACACCAAAGGAGAACAGACTGCAAGGTCAGAGCAAGGCGACGGCAGCGCTGACACAGTACTGAAAACAAGTGCAGCCAAAGACAAGGCAACCCCAGACACACCACCACGAAGCAGCCAGCCACCAAGCACAACTCACCACGCAACAACACACATACACATAGAGCCACAGCAACAGCCAACACAACAACCGTGGTGGGTACTAGGCCACCGCCCAGACAACCGAAATGAAGCCAGAAGCAGATCTCCGCAGCAACGAAGCAACAACACAACGATGCCAACGCCCCAGCAGCAGCCACGTATGACACAGCAAGACGGCGAAGATGACGACGCCGACATGCCGTTGAACGAGGGCAGCATCCTTGGGGACTGAGTGCAACCGCAAGAGCTACTGAGCTGAGGGTAAAGCAGTCTCACACCCTGAATAAGTATCCAACAAGGAAAAGCAAAATCATTTTGTAAAGGTCTGACGCGCTACTAACTCCCCCTAATGAATGCCTATCTGAAGTCCCAAAGGATACTAAACTACAAGTGTCACCGCACAGTCTTTTGCAGGGAGGATGCCAGACAAACCAACTTTGTGCACCGAGTTCTTCTGCCAAGGCCAGTTTGGGGATCCTGAATAAGCGATGTAACCTTGTGACCACCTAATAAGGCAACCCCCACAGAGGAGCACCGAGCGCTGAACCTTAACAAGCCACTGGGCAACAAAAGTTTCCTCGAAACAAGAAGGAAAAGAATGAAGAGCTGACGGGGACAGCAGCCCAAAACACAGTTAAGCCGTTTACAGACAGTTACCCCAAGGCAGCGCAAAAGTGCAGTCTCACACAAACTAACCACAGGGAAACCACCTGCGGAAAGGTTCCGGCGCAAAGGGAAAGTTAGAATTGCGTAAGTAGGCATGTTACTTACCCCCAACAGTCTTTCCCGGTGCTAAGGAACAACGAGGGGTGTAGGAACCGAGCTTGCCCAACACGGGCTGGGCAGAGACGCCCGGAGAGGGGGACCACCCTCTCTCCATAGCCTGAACGAAAGAAAGAAAGAGAAGGCTATCAGACCGGAAGCCCTCAGCCCGAATTGTGGTAAGTTTCCCGGGAAATACTCCTCGAGAGTCGGGTGATAGTGTTCTTATCAGCACATTTTATCAAATATAGTTCCAGGTGAGAAGTTGCCAGTTGGGTAGCTCGTGAAGGTCACAGGGTTACATAAGGCCAGATACATTGCTTGCTTTCAAGGTGCCCACCCTTGACGGTATTCTCAGTTACATTGAACTTGTTAATTTCGTATTGCAAGCAACAATTGGGACAAGGGCTTTTACGGCGAGGATGAAAAAAGAAAGTGAAGCAAGCAGGGTGTCCCTGGACTGCACGGATAGCACTCTCTGGCTAGGTTTGTGAGTTTTCGTGATTTTGCGGTCTTTTGTTTTGCATGTTTGCGTGTTTATCATTTTCACTTTTTCTCCACTGAAACCGAGACCCACTAGAAGATTTTGCACGGAATCAAGATCCCGCTCCTGGGCCTGAGGTCCGTGTAGGCCTCATCCATGTGCCTGAGTTGAAAGACAAAGCAGAGGCGCATCTTGCTTTTGGGTCTGTGCATGCCGTGCGTGCCTGGTTTTGCGGAGCTTCCTTGATTCAATATAGAGCTGGACATGCAGACTTCAAGCTGCTCTTCTTTGTCCAGTCTATAGTTTCTGACAACTGTAGAGTGATCTGCAGATTTCTCTTCAGCTGATGAAAAATGACAAGCTTCGCGGCTAAGCTGCCCTTGCCAGGAAATGCGCGCAGCCCTCGAGAAGCCAACCCTGGCACGTGTTGCAGCCATTTGCTCATCCCTGACCTCTCCCGATCTGCACCAAACATGATTCCAATCGTAACGCCACAACGCATATTACGATACTTTTTTCGTGAGTAGCCTGGGAAGCGTTGTAAGAGCTTACAGCCGCGCTTGCTTAGTCTTGTCGCTTGTTTGGGAATGCAAATCCCTTCAGCTGGCTGATAGTGCGACTGCTGCGAACTTGAATTGAAAAGCCACCGAGACTTTGTCGTCCTCAAGCCAAGGACTGTAAACGCGAATAGCTGCACATGAAAACAACGAGTACAAACTTGACGGACCAACACACGGACAACGCGAAACATGACTTCGCAGCTTCATCATGGACCATCGCACCAAGTTCGAACGATTGTTATTATTCCTCGGAGCGGCTAGCGGCTAGCATCTTCATCTGGGTTTCTGCATGAGTAACCTGCTAAGAGGTGTTGCGGTCTGTCGCATATCAGTCTGCATGTCACATGGTTCATCAACCATTGACAAGTGTATCTTGGACAGAACACCGCTCATGTTGTTGCATCCCGCAACCTGATTTGGAATGCTTGAGCCAGGTTGAACGTGACAAACGCCACTTACTTCCAGACAGAGGTGTGGATGACTCCATGATCATGTAGCTGCAGCTACGCAGCAGAAGTGCAGGCCCGTAACATCCCTTTACAGTCTGAACAGGTCCCAGAGGCGGAGCAGGTACCTCTGGCGGCCAAACTTCTTGCCATGCCGGGACCAAAGGGCACATGACTGATGAAAGCTTGAGAAAGCTTCGTGCAAGGTCCGAGCTAACATCATGCTAAAACCGTAGTATTACAAGTCTTTTGCCGTAAGATGGAAGCGGAAGCAAGAAGGGTGGTGGAGGTTTGGCAACCAAGGGAGGGAAAGGGAACCGAGTGGGGTAAGGGAGGAAGGAGAGGGATGTGAACTGGTGAGGACGGGAAGGGAACGGGAAACGAGGTGGCCTTCTTTTTCCCAGTGACATACATATGAGACATGATAAGGAATTATTTCAGGCACTTACGGAACTGGGCGCTCCGTAGGGGCCAGCAGATGACCTTGATCAAGACACTTGCTCTCGCGTAAAAGTTGACACGGCTGTCCCTAGCCCAGTCCCACCAGCAAGGCGGAGCCAAAGCAATCATTGCGCAATTCGTTGCGCTCACGTCGCTACAAGGTAGTGGATGTATTTCCCATTGAGGTCCAATACCGTGGATGTGGTTGTGGCAGGGCATGGCGACATGCAGGATGTGGTCGCTCGCCGAGACAGGATGTTGCACTTACATCATCGCTTTGATCCCATGAATGCTTCGAGGCTCTGGGCGAGCTCCTTCGTGCATACCAGACCGTGTCGTTGACCACTAACGCCTGGCACTGAGAAGGGCCAAGGGGCCAACACGAGGGCAGTGCCCAATTACTCTTGCGAGGTACCGATCGTGTCTTTGGGTGTGGACTTCGGCAACTCGGCTGAGGATGTTTGAAATTGTTCACAGCTTCATCCAATGCATCTATGTCACTGTGGCCAGATGCCAGCAAGAAAGCTGACACTGCGGTGCAGATGGCAGAGATTCGCCAGCAGGCTTGATTGGGGTAAGGACAGATTGTAGAAGAGGTATGAGAGAGTCAAGCCTTAAGCTCTCCATCTTAGCTCTGATGACCCTCGGAACTGAGCAGGCGCTGATGGGGGCAGGAAAGCGCCGCAGCATCTTCTTTGGCATCGGGACCAACAAGAGCTGAGCTCAACTCGAAACCACATATCTTATGATGTGAGAGATTTTGCAGATTTGGCAGCTTAGTGCCAGCTGAGTGTCATGCAAGGAAGTAGCCGGAGCATGCCGGAGCAATGACCAGAAAACGTACGTACAGCAGCAATAAATGCAATGCCTTCCTCTGCTGTGCATGCTGGCTGGTTGTTGGTCTACGGCTAAGGACCATAGCAGATCCAAACAAGAAGGGCAAGGCTGGGAACGGATAGGACTGAGGAAGACCCATGCAATGCCGCAGACTTCCTTGCGTGTCTTCGAAACTCCTCGCTTCTTGTCATTCCGAGCTTGGGGCTTGGTGAAGGGTGTCAGTGCCAGTGCCAGTAAGCACATGGCATCCGGGGCCTGGAGGGTTTGGTCATCAGTGATGAATACCCCTGTGCTCTGTTTACAAATTGCCGAAAGCTTGTGGGGTCAACATTGAGGGCCTAGTGAATACTGCAACCTGCCTGGCAGATCTACTTCTGAAGCGGTCAAGCTTTGGAGCGACTCTGAAAAGCCTGAGTTGCAATAGCTTGCACAGGAAATGTCGATGCAGGGTGACACTTTCTAGGCTCAAGTCAGGGTCAGAATATTCTGTCAGCAATGAAGTAATGGAAAATTGACCGTGATGCTCAGCATCAGAGGTTGTCCTCCAAGGTGCAGGCCATGGTCTGCATTCGAAGACCCTGTGTGCACCGCTCCAAAGTCTTCCAAGTGTTTTGCATTCACAAGTCACGAGTGGCCGGCTCTTGCGAGAGATGACGGGCACGGTCTCACAATTGGGCTCGGCCAAAGAACATGAGCCCAGATGCAGGGTATATTGCTATAGCGCGCGGCTGCCCACAAGGCATTTTTCGACTCTTTTCGGCAGCGGTGCAAGCAGACGCCGGGCGATCGTACAAGGAAAAATGATGGCTAGCCCTTTGTTTGATGTCTTCCCAATCTTGTTCGCTACTTGTTTTGAGAACCCGCAGTTCGACCTTTCTTGATTGCGAGCCTATCAACTTGTTCCCGCTGCATTCTAAAAAAGGAAGACGGAGTAATTGAGGCGGTCGGCTTTGGAACGTTGCCGGTCCTGGCTGCAAGGTTTCGCAACAAATTTGCGGTAGCCTGAGACGCATCCTAGTGCAAATCTGACACTCACATGGCGTCATGCCATATGCCGCACACCGCAAGGACGACGCAGCAAGAGCCTAGCGGCATCAACCAACAACAGCGAACCAACAATAGGTTGACTTTGAAAGCTTTAGAGCACGTCATATCCTCCCGTGAAATCATTACACGGTGACTTCGTCTCGGCGAGACGCGTGCATTCCCTGACTGCCCCGATGTTTGGCAGGCCACGCAGATGTTTGTGCTCTAACCTGGCACGCAGCACACCCTGAAGAAGAATTACTATTGACTGCTATGCTACTTCTGTCTTCGAGGTGTTGCTGCATACAACCAGATGATGGGCACGAGCAGGTGTGGTCAGTTTGCTGACGGCTGCCTATTCATGTTGCAAATTCAGATTGTCCAGTCCCCCTTCCCCCCAAACTTTGAAAAGCGGCCTGCACTCTGGAAGTGCATGTGTCTCTGATTCACTTGCACTTGTTCAGAGTTTAGGTCTTGAGGGTTCAAGATGTTGAGCAGTTGGCTTTCTGCTTCAGTCTTTTTGGGCTCTGGGGCCCGCAGGGGCATTGGTAGAGTGTTTAGGATTATTGGGTTGAAGGGTTCAGGTATTTCTTGTTTCGTTTCTTGGAGGGTTTGAGGTTTGGACTTTAGAGATTTAGGCTTGACTGCTGGAGGTTAGAGTTAAGGTCGGGGCTGGAGACCTGTAGGGTTCTGTAGCAGACCTTTATAGGGTGCTAGCTTGGGAGCTTTTGGTCACCATGGGAGCATTGGGTACAGTTTGAATTACCCTCTCCTGCTGATGCGGGCTTTGGATGCTGGTAAACGCAGTCTATGCTTTTTGTCCCACGAGGTGTTCCACACAGGAACTCCGATGGAGTTGCCCCCAGCTGTCAGAGCCCCAGGCTGTGGGCTTCTGTTTTCGACCTGAAGCTTAGCTGGATTGTGAGTCGGGATGACATCCGCAATCCAGCTCAGCTTGGGCAATCCGATCCTTACACCCTGGCGCATACCATGCTAGAAAATCTAGATGTCCAGCAGCGAAGCAGTCTGGGCTTGGGGAAGACCAAGCGGTCCTATGCATCCTCAGTCATTCTCATGCCCTGAGCCTCAACAGCGAAAACTCAGAGCCTCAGGGAGAGAGGAAGTCCCTCCAAGTGCCTCCAGACTTCAGCATCCGCAGCGTTGACTCTACGGCCTCTCCAGGCTAGGCCTTTCAGTTTGGTCTTTACTTAGACCCCTCACTGGGGACCACTGACCTGTTGCACTCCCATGGAGGTGCTGGATATATCAGCCTCAGCGAGGAGCAGAAGGCTACCCTTTGTTTCCTCAACGATTCGCGGACCCTCATATTGCAAGGCCAGAGAGATGTCGAAGTTGCAGCACATGATCCGCGACTTCGTGATGGAGTTTCTGCAGGCAGGTAAGTATGTTGTGCTGTAGCCTTGCCAGCTGCAACGGATTTGAAAGCTGCGAGGGTGTATTCTTAGATGCCGTCCTTGAAGATGGGTCTTTGGCCTGGGCCCTAGGCTCTATTCCTGCTTTGGAAGGGTTCAGACGGGCTCCGTGCTGCAGCTCTCTGGAAGCTACATTGGTGACAGCTGCTGCTCAGGTTCCAATACACGCAGGTGACAAAAAGGAAACCAGCAAGATGGGTTTGGAAAGGTATCATTGTTATTTGCTTGGTGCACGGCCAACATGGTTGTGCCATCAACGACGACGCCTCAATTCTGGATTCAAGGCAAGTTTGATGGATCCTCACGCCTCTTACCCCATGCCCTCGACATGGAGAACAGATGAAACATTAGGCTGCATCATTGTGCCAAGGTGCCTTGTCGCTGTGTTATGGACAGCAAGCTGTCCATACTCATGCTGCAGGCGCTACTTTCTTGATCTTTGACCCTGTGACTTTGGCAAGCCGATGCCGCCCGTCCTGCTAAGTATCGTAAGACTAAGGTATATGTTGGCTACTAATGGCTGCTACAATGTTCTCGGAGGGATCCAGCAGCCACCATAGATGGCTCTCCGCACTGAATATCCCCAAGTAAACCTATTCCGCCGCTTTACAACTTCCAAAAAAAAACAACTTGCACCTGAACAAGGCATGGTAAAGCCAAACCTTACCCCCAATACCAAACTATGATTCCTACTGACGTCTTGGCGGCTCTGCAAGCAAGCATGAAGGACCGGTTGAGGCTTCGGAGATCTAAGGCAGGAGCATTCCAACAGAGGCTATCTAGAAACGTCATGGCAGATCGAGCGAGCTGATAGGGAAAAGGCAGGGCGTCTCAAAAAGTCAGGCATCAAGAAGATGGGCTGAACACGATGTGAAGTTCAGCTTTAGCCCTGATCTTTTCAGACCTGGTACAAGGTGCACTCCACAACTCGTACGGTGGACTTGACCAGCATCCAGGATGTCATAGCATGCCATGCATGCCCGGCGTCATAAGTAGCAGTATGTGCTCCAGACGACCAGAGTCAGCAGATTTGCAATGGGCGCGAAAGTTGGCCGAAGCCTTTACCGCCCCGCCGTCCTGCCCTTGCATCGTCCAGCAGCGATATCTTCTTTATAACCCAGATGCAGCAGGTTCTTGAGCATAGTGAAAATGTGAGATCCGCACCTCAGAATTGGGGGTTCCAGCCAAACAGTGGTTGGGAAATTGAGAAGTGTAGAAATTGAGAAGTTTAGAACTAGAAGCGCATCTCATTAGTTCAGCGGCTCCAAAGCCTGCCGCCGTCCTGCAAGGAGATCTGCTCAGGAGGGGAGCTCAAGGACCTTCAGGCCGCATAAATCACAACTGCATATCCTCAGCGCTTACTGTCTGGCTAGTCTACCCCACTTTCGGCTTTGGCAGGTGACAACCCCATTGGACGAAAACTGCGTAACTTTAGTAATGGCTGATGACCAATGCGTTTCTTTCAAGCCCGGGTCTCAGCTCTGCAGAAATCTTCGACCACACTACTAAAGCGCAGTACGTGAGATGCCATGCTTTCTGCAGATGTTCTTGGCATAGAGCCTTTCTGTGCTAAGGTTCGCAGACAGGCAGGCGAGGGAGCATTTCGCCACCTGCATGAAGGCAGGCTAGCAACATGGTACTTGTTGGCAACTTGGCCAACTTGCAAGTTTACATAGTGTTACCAGTTGAGCAACAGGCAATAGACTTCGTACAGCCATATAGTCTTGGACCCAGTTCGCATTTTGAGGTTTTA